CGACGGCTGGTTCGGGGAGAGGCGGCTCTCTTCAGCTGCCAAGTTCGTGAAAAGCATCGGCTCTGTGAAATCGCGGTGGAATGCCAGGCGCTGCCAGATACGGGCAGGGACGTGGGGCCGGCTCCGTGGGCTTATATTTAGCCTCCGACGCTGGCAGGGGAAAACCAGTTAGCAGTTACGAGAGCGGCTTGAGCTTGCAGCTAGCTGAAAAGGGAGAGGATAGCCAGCCTCGTGTGAAGCTCGGCAAAACAGGGACAAATGGAAACACCTCTTCTTACTGCCTCCCCCTGTCCTCCCATCACATCCCGCCCTGCCGGTGCACCCTTTCTGGGAAGAAAGAACGGGAAAATGGTCAACAGAGTGGGTCCAGGGAGGGGCACCTGGGAAGGAGCAGGTGGAAATGTTGGGCAGGACCCAGGCAGGGTCCTCCTGAGGTTCAGTCGTGGGGAGGGAGAGTCTGGGGGAGAAAGAGACTGCGCACGACTGCATCTGGCAGGGGGGGGCACCGGGGCAGCAGAGGTGCTGAACACTTTGAGAGGTACCTGGAGGTACCAGGGCTCGTAGGAGCACCTCTCAGATGCAGAGAAGTGCCGTTCGCGGGTTGGTTGAATGCACACCTTCCACGTGGCTTGCCCAGGGAGAGCCGTGCTGGTGGAGGAGTGAGCTGAGGTGTCGGCGCGGGGGCTGTACGGATACAACAAGTTGGAGTGACAGAGGTGGGACCTGAGCTCAGAGGCAGTTGGGAAAAAAGGTCAGGAGGAAAACCCTAGGAAAAAGAAGAAGAGGGGAGGTCACTTTTTTATGATGCTCCAGAGCGGGTACCCGACACGGGGAGCGATGCGAAAGGATCCTGGCAGTGCCACGGTGCCCTGAGCATCCTCCCGACCCCCTCCCGCAGCCATTGCGACGGGGTGAAGCCTCCGGCGAAGCAAGTCTGGAGGCTGCTGCTTTCCCTGCTTGGTTGTTTGGAGATTTCCAAATTTCCAGCATCGATTTGGAGCCGGACGTGGACGAGCGGGGATGCTTTGGGGAGCGGGTTGCCGCCGGCATCCAGCACAGGCAGTTCGGATGGGGAGGGGAAGATTTTCCCCGGGGAAATTTGGCTGTTGGGCTCAGAGCCCACTGCAAAACACATCTGTAAAAATATTTACAGGTACAAACCCACCATTTCTGACTGCGAGGGGACCGACGAGGTTACCACCGCAACGGGGTCTGAAGGAGAA